ATAGATAGACAGACAGAGATAGATAGACAGACAGACAGACAGATAGATATAGATGATAGATAGACAGACAGAGATAGATAGACAGACAGACAGACAGATAGATATAGATGATAGATAGACAGACAGACAGACAGAGAGAGATTGATTGATTGATTGATTGATTGATTGATTGATTAACACGTCCTGATGCTAAGAAGTTCTACTCCCCCTCCCCACCTGAAAAGAACTCTGTTCCAACTGCCATTTGGACATTGCTGTGGCTATCGCGTGAGTCATCCGCCCTGGGGGCTGGGAGTCTACTCCCCCTCCCCACCTGGAAAATGCTCTGATGCTAAGGAGTTAGACCGAGGGAGAGGAGAGGCCTCTGTGGGGCCAGCCTGAGGGAGGGAAGGGGATAGGAGAGGATCAGTGGGGCCAGCCTGAGGGAGAGGGGCCCGATCATATAGTTTTATTGCAGAGCACGGGGATCCAGCTAGTAATTAGATAAGAGGCGGCCTGTCCCTGAGCTGCACAACGGACAGAGAAAGAAACTCAAATATGGACCTCTCTATCACATTAGGCTCTAAAAGAGACTCTGGGAGATTCACACCTTGAACTCCCTGAGTTTATTTTACATATACAGCTGGTCCTCGACTTAACAATGGTTTGTTTAGCGACTGTTAACAAAGGCGCTGGGGGAAAATGCGAGCTAGGAACCATTTCCACACTTAACAACCGTCGCGGGATCCCCGCAGTCACATGATCAAAATAGACTCGTATTTACGAGGGTGGCAAGCGTCCCAGGGGCACGTGATTCCCCTTTCTGACCAACGAGGGAAGCCAGGTTCACTTAACAACCACAGTGATTCCCTTTACAACGGTGGCAAGAAAGGCTGAATGGGGCAAAACTCACTTAACAACGGTCTCGCTTAGCCGCAAAACTCTGGGCCGAGTTGCGGTTTTATGTCGCCTAGCTGTGCAGTGCAACACATTTAATTGCCCTGAGACGGAGCAAAGTATGTGTGTCTTTCTCTACACACACCTACACATACACACAAACACCAACACACCAAGGGAGGTTTTGGGGTAGGCCTTATCCTTTATGGAAAGGACGGGGGAAAGGCAACTATTAGTCCTCTATTTACGACCGCAGTTGAGCCCAGAATATCTGTTCCTCCGCGAAACATTGGTTAAATGAATTTGACGACCTTTCTTTCCGCCGTTGTTCAGTGAATCCCTGCAGTGGTTCAGTTAGTCACACGGTCGTTAAGTGAATCTGGCTTCCCCGTTGACTTTGCTCGTCAGATGGTCGCAAAAGGGGATCACGTAAGCCCCCGTCATAAATACGAGTCTGTTGCCAAATGTCCGAATTTGGATCAGGTGACCGTGGGGATGCCGTGATGGTCGTAAGTGTGGAAAAGGGGCATAAGTCACTTTTCTAGAGGGCTGTTGTAACTTTGAATGGCCCCTAAAGGAATGCAGGCAGTCCTCGACTTACAACCGTTCGTTTAGTGACCAAAGTTGCAACAGTCCTGAAAAAAGCGACTTACGGCCGTTTTTCCATACTTACAAGAATTGTGGTCACAGAATCAAAATTCAGATGTTTGGCCAATGACTCGTATTTACGACCTTCCGGCGAGCAAAGTCAACAGGGGAGCTGGATTCACTTAACAACCGTGTGACCGGCTTAACAACCGCCGTGATTCTCTTTTTAACAACTTTTAACAGCAAGAAAAGTCACAAAATGGGACAAAACTCCCTTAACTAATGTTTCGCTTTGCAACATACATTCTGAGCTCAATTTTGGGTCGTAACGCGAGGATTTCCCGGAGTTGTAAATCGAAGTACTCCTTGTAATGCCATTTTCTGGTTGTTGTTTTTTTTCTCCTCCTCGCAAAGGTATTGCAACAGATTCCGGAGATCGTGAGAAGCAGTGGGCCTATCCTGGGTTGCAAAAACCTTCCCACAGGTACGTCACCTTCCTCCAGGGTGGGAGCGTTTCCCTGTGTCCCCGTTCCCCACAACACCTGACCCATCCGAATGGGCGAAGCAGGCAGAGGCGGTCGGTGAAAGGGGCAGCTGGGATGAATCCAGCAAGATGGGGAGCGAACCCCCCCTTCCCCCCAATTAGGACCGAATACATTTCAGGCAGTGGTGGGTTCCTCTCCCCGTCGCTACCGGTACGCTGTGTACGGGGCCGGGCGTCTTGGTCGTGCACGCACGCTGCCCGCGCATGCACACTCCGCCCCTGCAACACCCAGCTGCTTGATAGGGGCCGCCCAGGCGCCACACGCTGTCCTCGCATGCGCAATTGGCCGGTTGCTTTAAAAACAGGTATGGAATGCGGGCGGGCCAAACGAGCCATTGTACCAGGACGGTGGCTGCTGTTCCCGGCTACTACCGGTACGGACGTACCGGGCGGAACCCAACACTGGTTTCAGTTAGTACGGCTGTAATTGAGACTTTACGGACGTACCGGGCAGAACCCAACACTGGTTTCAGTTAGTACGGCTGTAATTGAGACTTTACGTGGATTTTCCTGACGTTTTATGACCTTTTTCATGCCACGGTCGTTAGGTGAAACCTCCGCAGCGGTTCAGCTGTTAAGGCTGGGCTGGGGGATTCTGGGAGTTGAAGTCCACCAGTCTTAAAGTTGGGAGACCCTTGGCCTATATAGACAAACACAGTTCTCCCTCCCGACGAGCTTCGGAAGGCGAGTAATCTCTCTTTTTTGCTAAGAGGGAGGAAAACATACAGGGAGTCCCCAACTTACGACAGTCCATTTAGGGACCGTTTGAAGTTGTGACGCCACCGGAAAAATAAAGCGACTTAGGTTCGGTTTTCACACTTAAAAAAACGTAGCAGCATCCTCACAGTTAGGTGATCAAAATTCAAACGCTTCTTGATTCTTGAATATGACAACTGATCCGTAGTTATGACGGTCACAGCATCCTGGGGAGGGTGGGTGGTCGCATGATTCCTTTTTGCGACCTTCTGACAAAAGCCAACTTGATAGGGAAGCCAGATTCGCTTAACAGCCGGACCCCTAACGTAACAACGGCGGGGATTCACTCAACAACGGTGGCAAGAAAGGTTATAAAATGGGGGAAGTAAAATTTACTTAACGGATGTCTCGCTTAGCCATAGGAATTTGGGACGCCATTGTGGTTGTAAGTCGAGGACTTCCTGTAATCGGGCTTTTAAAAAATCTGCCTCACTTTCTTCTTAACTGGTGAGGCGAGGAGGGAACTGTGCCAGCTGGGCACTGCGACCTTGCCAACTTCCCTTTCTTTCGCTCTCCGCAGAAGCCAGGAGTCTCCTCCTTATGTTGCTGGGCAATCTCTCCGCCCGTTGCCCCACCGAGTTTCAGACAGCCGTCCTGGCACACCCTCCAGAAGTCGGCACCTCGATCCACGCGGCCATCAGCTCCGCTTAAAACGGCCAGGAAGGGGCGCTGTCGTCCAAACTTTTGAGGACTTTCGAAACCAGCCGTTATACAAAGCACCACGCGGGAGGAGTTTTTTTGCATCTTCATCTTTGGACCTCACTCCCGATCCACAACACAAAAATCCGGGCGTGGTTTGTGCTGCTTTGATTTCAGTATTGTTTCATCTTTTTTTTCACAGTTAAGCTTTCTTTTTCCTGCCTTTCTTTCTCTCCTCCATTCCCCGCTCCCCCAACTGAAGGCGTTTTCGTCGGCTGAAAATCCCGCTCGATACCTCGAAGTTGTTTGCAACGTTCGCTCAATGCTGCTTAACGGGATTTGAGATATCTGGATTTCCTTCGCCGTTTTCCCTCCAACGATCGCGCCACTCTTAATGGCACACGTTTTGTGATCCACGCAGCGAGATTTGCAGTGCGACGTTTTTATATCTAACTAGATTTTTAAAAAATATCTAATTAGATATTTTTTTTACCTGCGAGGAAATTAAGCTTTTTCAAACAACCCGAGGCTTCGAAACGGGCACGTTAGCCAAATGGGAAACGGCAGAAACGCAGAAACATTTGTGTCAAATGTTGTGTAGAGGCCAAAAAAAATAAAATGTGCCGAGTTTGTCAACACAACCGCAACACAATTTGTAATCTCGGTGTCATCTGCCGAAGCCAAAACAAATAAGTGAATCCTGCTGCGGTTGAGATGCCGGTTTGATCTATTCGTTCTGTGCCAGCGTTAGGGGGGCATTCGCACCCTATTGCAAGAACGCAGCTCCACAAACTTGTGTCTTGGCGCGCAACCGAGGAGTTCTTCCACCACGGTCTTTTTTCCCCTCACGGTGATCACAACTGTTGTTATTATTTTTTTGCCTGTTGCCGAAAAAAAAAAGCTGAGAATTTTGCCGTTGTTTGGCTTTTGGGATGGCTCCGGGGAAGCTTTCCTGGACTGGCCCCATGTTGTGGTTTCGCAAGGGGCCAGATTTGTGTGCACAAAGTTCACGGTTCTTGAACGAGAGGTTCTTCTCCTTTTTTTTCCGCTGAATGTGGTTTCTCTACGTAGTTTTTTCCCCCCAGTTGGATTTCTGCCACAAAGCAACGGTTCTCACGAATCAACTCTTTCCTCCGTCGTTCGTATTTAAGATTTTTAAACTTTCTGGTTTGGTCTTTTCTTGGAACAGAAGATTAAAAGTATACTGTATGCAGTACCTTATAATAAAATGAAATCAATTAAATTGTTTGTTACGATCCCTAGCCTACATAATTCCCTTTTATTCACACACACACACAAACACACACACAGCAGACCGTCTGGCCAGATTAAAAAGTGAGTGGAAAGGCGGCCATATTGCCTACTAGCTGGATACCCGGGCGACGAAACTATATGATTGGGCAATGCAGGAGAAATATGGCTCAGTCCGTTGGCTCAGCGGTGGTCGGTGACTGAAACACATAAGGGAACGTCGCTCCCGCCACCTTGAGTCCGGAAGCAATTCCATAGATGGAAGGCGTAGAGATTTTGGTGAGGTACCGACATTTAGTACTGTAAGGAGCCCCAGACCGCTCCTAAGTGAAGGAGTGGAGCGTCTGCCAGTTTGAACTGAGGTAACGGAATGTGAGGCAACTGGCAGTTGGAACAGAGTTCTTTTCAGGTGGGGAGGGAGAGTAGAATGTCTTTAACTCCTTAGCATCAGAGCGTGTTAATTACTGTATAAGACATACTAATGATCCGATGGTCATTTCNCCCTGCAGTGGTTCAGTTAGTCACACGGTCGTTAAGTGAATCTGGCTTCCCCGTTGACTTTGCTCGTCAGATGGTCGCAAAAGGGGATCACGTAAGCCCCCGTCATAAATACGAGTCTGTTGCCAAATGTTCGAATTTGGATCAGGTGACCATGGGGATGCCGTCATGGTCATAAGTGTGGAAAATGGTCGTAAGTCACTTTTCTAGAGGGCTGTTGTAACTTTGGCCCCTAAAGGAATACAGGCAGTCCTTGACTTACAACCGTTCGTTTAGTGACCAAAGTTGCAACAGCCCTGAAAAAAGCGACTTACGACCGTTTTCCCACACTTGCAACGATCGTGGACACAGAATCAAAATTCAGATGTTTGGCCAATGACTCGTATTTACGACCTTCCGGCGAGCAAAGTCAACGGTGGAGCTGGATTCACTTAACAACCGTGTGACCGGCTTAACAACCGCCGTGATTTTCTTTTTAACAACTTTTAAGGGCAAGAAAAGTTGCAAAATGGGACAAAACTCCCTTAAGTTCTCTACACACATATACACACACACACAAACACACACTTTTTTTTTCCTTAATTTTCTTTTCACCTGGCCAGACACTACCCCAAAATTCTGGCGCTTTTATCCAATCTCATTTCTCAAGAGCAAAATAACCGAGTAACCGACAACGTGTGTGGCGCCGTTGCGAGGATGCTAATGACCAATCCTGGAGGAATGCCCGTTGAACAGGTAAAACACAATTTTTTTGTGTGTCTTGTGAGTGCGGAGCAACTACAGGAGAAGCTGTCCTTTTATCCTGGCTAGTTAAGGTGGGATTAGCTACGTGGTGCATTTATTTTATTTACTGTATTTTTTAATCCCGCCTTTATTACTTGACTAGCCGATAATCCGGTGTTGCCAGGCTCTTTATAGGGGGGAAATATCCTGACCAAATGTACCGTATTTTTCGGAGTATAAGACGCACCAGGTTTTGAAGAGGCAAATTTAAGGAAAAAAGTTTTTGCACTCTGCAGATCTCCCAAAAACGGACCGTTTTTCACAAAAACTGGCCCTTTTTTTCCCCCCCATAAAAAGGGCAGGCATATACAAAGGATTATATACAAAATAAATACGGGACTAAGAAATTCCAGATAGCTTATGCTTAAGATCAGGAATGATTTAAATCGTTTAAAGTTAGCTTATAGCAAGGAGGAGCTAAGTTCAACGCAAAGATGTTATTAATTTCTTATTCTTTTTTCCAATATATTTTAGACTGTGTTGGTTAAAAATCTATACCGTGTACGGGTTCTGGGAAGCCGGTGGGGGGGTAGATTGTGGGGGGTTATGGGGGGGAGGGATATATATTAGGTTTGATGAGACGTGTTAGATTTTAACGTAATTTGACCCCACATATATACTGGTTTTTTTTTCCTTATATTTTCATTGCTATTATTACTACTATATTTTTTATTAAAAAAAACTAGGATATGTTAAGCATATTGAGATGTAGCGGAAATACACCAAGGAGAGGAAGAGTGGGAAANGAAGAAGGAAGGAAGAGGGAATAAAAGGAAGGAAGGAAGAGAAGGAAAGAAAGCAGGAAGGGAGGAGATAGGAATGAGAAGGAAGGAAAGAAGAAGGAAGGAGGTGGGAATGAGAAGGAAGGGAAAGAGAAGGGAAGGAGGAAGGGAAGGAAAGAAAGGGGGAATGAAAAGGAAGGAAGAAGGAAGGGGGAATGAAGAGAAGGAAGGAAGAGACCGAAAGAAGGGAGGAGATAGGAATGAGAAGGACGAAAAGAAGAAGGGAGGAGGGAGGGAAGGAAGGAGGTGGGAATGAGAAAAAAGGAGGAAGGAAGGAACGAAGAGCAGGAAGAGCAGGAAGAAAGAAAGGAAGGGAGAAGATAGCAATGAGGAGGGAAGGGAAGAAGGGAGGAAGGTGAAGGGTGGGAGGGAGGGAAGAAGGAGAAGGAATTCCTCCATTAAATCCTCTCTCCCACCCCTTCCTTCACAGCTTCCTCTTGAGAAAAGACAAAAAGCTCTTTTTCCCCCATTTTTAGAAGAAACGGCTCTTTTGAAACCCTTAAAAGAAGAATGGGGTGGGTTAAACCATTTTCAGCAAAGCGTGGGGGGGGGGTATCCCGCTTTTAGAAGTGGGGGCCGGGAGGAGGGGCCCCTTACCTGCGGACGTAACCCAAAGTGATCACCTCCTTCTCCAGCGGCAATTCGAAACTGATTTCGGGGAGTTCGGGCACCACGGGCAAGATCCCGCTTTCCGGTTCGAGGAGAACCCTGTTTAGGGAGGGAAGGGCCGATCAATCAACATGGAGCTGGAAGGGACCTTGGAGGTCTTCTAGTCCAGCCCCCCCTGCTCAAGCAGGAGAGCCTGGATCATTCCAGACATTCAACGCTCCAATCTCAGACAATTTCCAGGGATGGAGCCTTCAGAACTTCTGGTGGCAAGCTGTTCCCCTGGCTAATTGTTTTAATTGTCGGGAAATTCCTCCTTAATTCTAGCTTGCTTCTCTCCTTGATTAGTTTCCATCCATTGCGTCGTCTTCTCCTGCCTTTGGGACAGAGTTTGGGGCAGAAAAATCCAATCCAGGAATAACGGATTCATGCAGGATTCCTTCACTTCTTTATATACAGAATAACACGGGAATAAATGCACAAAGCAGATTCTTCCAATGGGGTAGAGAGAGATCAGTTCTCTTGCACAGACTCGGAGCTACATAGTTAAGCCACGCCCAGGCTCCAAACCACCAAATTAGTTCCCAATGGCCGACCGGTTGCGATGTCCTATTCCAGTTTATGAATATTCTGACACTTTAGTTGATTTAAAAGATAAGTTAGGCCACCCTCTTCTTTGGGGGCAGCCCCTCAAATATTGCAAGACTGCTATCTCCTCCCNCTCACTGTCTCCTGGTGATTGGTCATAAGTCACGTAGTCGCTTTCATGCTTAATGTGGAACTAGAACTCACTGTCTCCTGGTGATTGGTCATTATTCAACTAGTCTCTTTCATGCTTAAGGCGGAACTAGAACTCACAGTCTCCTGGTGATTGGCCCAAAGTCACCCAGATGACTTTCATGCCTAAGGCAGGACTAGAACTCACAGTCTCCTGGTGATTGGCCCAAAGTCACCTAGTCGCTTTCATGCTTAATGTGGAACTAGAACTCACTGTCTCCTGGTGATTGGTCATAAGTCACCTAGTCACTTTCATGCTTAAGGCGGGACTAGAACTCACCATCTCCTGGTGACTGGCTGTAAGTCCCTGAGCCCATCTTTCATATCTGAGATGGGACTACAACTCACCCCCTCCTGGTGATTTGCCCAAAGTCATCCAGCCGCCTTTTACACTTCAGATGGGTCTAGAACTCACCATCTCCTGGTTTCTAAGCCAGCACTTTTATAAAGTTATTTTGTCAATCTCACTTATACGGATATACTGTATATTTAAAGCAACCTGTATGAATTTAAGCATCCACTCCTAGAAGAATGAACTATTCTAGGAAACATCTCTCTCTCTCTCTCTCTCTCTCTCTCTCTCTCTCTCCTCTCTCTCACTCACTCTTTCTCTCTCTCTCCCACCCATGTGCTTTTTTCCTTTGCCCAGGACCCTCCCCCCAAAAAACGACGTATCCTGTCCACTATTCAACCATCTTTGCAAGCAGCCTCCGTGTTTCCACTATCTTTCTTCCCCCTTGGAACTGGACATTTCTGTCCCAACAAATCTATCCTAGAAAGTCAAAAACGATCCATCTCCTCTCGCGGATTAAAATTCAACAGGTTTATTTTTATTTTATTTTTTTTAAAAAGCAGGGAAAGGCAACGAACCAGGACCTGGAAATAATAACATTGGTTTAATCCAGAAAACTTCACCTGAGCCACCAAATGGGGTCTTCTTGCCCAGCCTGAATCTTCACCAAGGAGGCCGCTGTTTTGGGAGCGGAGTGCGGGTGAAGGGACGTCAGAATCGCGGAGCGGAATCTGCTTAGCTGTGGGGGAAACGCGCTCCTGGCTTGATGATGATCTGTCCGTAAGCCTCCTTTTGTTCCAAGCTCAGGATCTGACCTGCGGCAAGAACTAGAGGGAGGGGAAAGACGCTGTATGGAGGATACAGTCCTCGGCTTAACGACGGGCTGTTCGAAGTTACAAACAGGCCTCCCCAGGGTCACTATATTTATTTAATTTCCTCTTTAACTTTTGTAATATGTGTTGTTGTTTTTTAATGTTGTACGCCGCCCTGAGTCCTTTGGGAGAAGGGCAGCATCTAAATCCAATAAACAAACAAATCCATTATCATAAATCCATTATCATTGAAAGGAACATAAAATGAAGAATATAGATTTTAAATCCCGTTTGCCTAGTGGGAAATTATTTACGTCTTTCCAGGGCTGGACTGAGTTAAAAACTGGGCTCTACCAGCTAGAGGGGGCGTGGCCCAAGACTTTTTAAACTCCGTCTCAATGGTTAATGGACAAAAGTTAAACCGTGCTTGGATCCTCCAAGCGGCGCACAGGAGAAA